CTATAGATTGCCCATTGCAATGTCTGGCCTTGATAAAGCCAACAGTTTCTGTCTACAACTGCAAGAAATTGCAACTAAAGCTTAGCATAGTCAAAAGATCTTCACTGATAAAGATACTATGTGCTGCATTCCATTCAGACTCATGTTCTGTGTCCATTTTGATACACACCTAGAAATCAAGATGAATACAAGTAAGAAATCTATTGGTTTTTTTCAATATAAGATGAGTGTTGCTACCAATGTGAAAAACTCTAAAAGAGCCCCACCAAATCCAAAAATAGGCCTGTAACTACAATTAAGATAAGAACAGATCAGAATTATCTTACACACCACTTCTTCTTTACTTATGACATAAAGCATGACTTAACAGAGAAAGTAAATGTGGATTTCCAAGTTAACTTCTAATAGTTAACAAATATTTCCCTAATTTGGCATTGTAGCATCATCTTTAGTGATAGCTGGTCAACAAAATCTTGCCAATCATTTGGTTTGGAAATATCCTCAGGTGGCAGGTCACAAGAACCATAGTAAATGGGATGAAATTACCAATACGGGAGCACGGTTAACAAAGGTAAATGGTGAAAACATTCTTTGAAGCATTTCAACAAACACGTTGTGTGCTAAAAACAAACAAATATATTTTCCAATTCTGAACGGTTGAAAATCCATCAAGGTGAAGGAAACTAATACAATATTCAAGATTAGAGAAAGAAAATAGAAAACAAGCAACGGTAGTTACAAATATGAGAATAAATGAAGAACACTTATCCTTTTCTCCTTCTTTTATCTAATCAGTAGTTGGGGCATCGACAAGGGAAGAAGAGAGATCTCGATCGTAATGGAGTAGTCCGATGATGATAGAGAAACAAGGGAGAACGGATTTGCAATAATGGCGGACAAACCGATTCAAAATCAAAGCATCTTCAGTGGAGTTTTTTCTATGAAGAACGTGAGATCAATGAGTGTGGCGGTCGACAGAGGTAGAGGTGGCCGGTGAAGGGAGGAGGGAGGCGATCGACGGCGGATGATGGAGGAGGTTGGAGGCTATTCGACGAAGGTGAGTCGTCGGAGGATGGATCGTAGGTTTGAGCGAGAGAGGAAAACGGGTAGGATAGAGAGAGAGAGAGAGAGAGAGAGAGAGAGATGAAAATTTATTTTATCAGATATTATATTTAATAAATCATTTAATTATACTTTTATTCATATAATACCCCTGACTGAATTAATTAATATACTCCTCCTTCTTTTTTTTGTCTACTTATTTACAAAAACGTCACCTTGCATCTCGACCATTCCTTTTTTGATCCAACATTTCACCTTTAGTTCTCG